TACCTATGGAGTCTGGGTTACGGTATGTCAGTCAGGATATCCTGTGAACAGAGCTAGAGGCTAGACTCTAGAGCCTCCAGGCTCCGCATGCAATATCCTGAGTCCTGACTGACTGCTCATTCAGGTACCGGTAATTTGCATTGACAATATTTAATCCCACGACCGGGTTGATACACAGTGACAGAGCAAGTCTGAGCAACCATTTGCGGTTGGTAACATAGCTCGTGTTGTCACAGGGGTATCCTGACTGACATGCCCGAAGACAAAGCAGATTTTGACCCTGTTTCCGCAATCAGCACGCATACCTATAAATAGCAGTTCTGCGGATAACCTCAAGAGTCAGGATATCCCATGAATTCGTACGTAAGATTCCTCTGATCATGAGTGTTTTTGAATTAAAGCAGAATGTGCTGTCCTCCACGACTCCACCATCGATCTGGCAACCCACTGTGAGTGGCTGAGCCTGAAACACATCAGATCCGTCAAGACCAGTACAAACTAGGTTCTGCGTGAGCCCTAATTAATTCTACAACACGTCAGCGGGCACGCTTGGAAATTGGACGGTGAATGAATGCTGAGCATTGAAGGCTGCAATTCCGAGAGACGGGTCACGGACCGTCACGGACTACCATGTGTATTTGGTACATTTGCACTTCCCATTCTCTTCTTGAATTTAGCGCCAAGCATCCTCTTCTTGAAGCAACAAGCATTCTAGTCCTCTCGAAAGAGAAATCTGATTGCATTCTCTTCTTGGAGCACCACGCATTCTCCTCTTGAAGCACAAAGGAAGCACCAGAACTTAGTTGCGAGCTTATCTAAGCTCGGCCTTGTCCTGAGCTCACGTCGAGTTTGTGGCCAAGTACATGGGGGACAGGGTCACGACTTCTCAGAGCCCCAAAACGGAAGGAGCTCGCAGCGTCATGGAAATGCCAGGGGGTCAGCCGTACGATAGCTTGCATAATGAAGCCGGTGAGAAGTCAAACCCGCTGCAAGAAGATCGAGAAAGTTGCAAAACTAAAGTAAACGACTCGTGGTCCATAATCAGAAGCTGCTTATGGTTATGGGCTGTCCACTTTAGGTGTGTCTTGAAGAGGTGTGGCAGATGATAAAAATGAACCAGGATGTTCCAAGGGGTTCATTTGGGTTCTCTTGTGTGCAAGACGGGACATCTGTCAGGTCACCCTGCTGCCTTCTTACTCAGGCGGGGTGTCTCTTATCTTTGAAAAGTTGTTGGCTTTTGTGACTCTCAACCATTGGGCAACAGAGTCCAGGGTAACCAGCAAGTCTGTCTACACGGTATTCGCCAGAATAGTAATGCGGCACTCGTGGGGGAAACCAAGAAAAGGATTGGCTCTTAAGGTTTTGTCAGCTCATATTGAGGAGCATGGAACAAAAACTTGCTCCTTAAAAGCACGAAAGGTGTTGACGGTCTGGACCCACGAGTCATGATTGACCAAAGTTTCCTATGAGATGTGTCAGAAAACTCTGGGAAGCTTCAAAGTTAGCCAAGTTGTCATCTTTTTGTGAAAGCCTTCAGTTCAGAGCGTCTTCATGTGCAGAAAGCTAGCCTGTGGTCAACACACATTTTCATTAGCATGTTGTTTCTCTTTGGTCCTGGTTCACATCAAAGCCATATCAAAGCCATACAACTTCAGTTATGCAGCTTCCTGATTCAGGATCTCTCTCCCTAGGCACATTCCAAAAGTTGATAGCCAGGTTGTATCTTCTAGTTCCTTGTTGCGGTGTTGCAATCCAGGTGTTGGATGTCTAGCTAATAGTACGTGGACTTCTCAACCATCGCTCAACACCTTTTCTTAGGACCCTGGAGTGGATGTCATATGTTTACTACATGTCTAATCCTGGCCCTTATCCACATAAATCCACCAACGACTGCAAATGCTGTACAAGCGTTTCAAAATTTCCTTCCTGTACATGTGCAGAGCTATCCAAGATAAGTCACGATGCTGCTTTCATGGAGGAAGGGAAGAACGGCAAGGGAGAGGTGTATTTCATCAGACACGGGGAGTCTGAGTCAAATCGCCAGGGACGCTTTGCAGGTAACCAACAAGTTTAAGGCTTCAGTTCTGCTTGGTACATATTTGGTACCCAACTCGGCAGGCATCGTCCACACAAAATTTCATTCAGCCTTCAATGCTACATTATGCACTAGTCACGTTCTGTGGCATTCTTCCAGCTCAGCTATTCCTAGAACTTCAGACTATTGCATGAGTGTCTTTTGTGGGTAAAGTCTATGTACCTAGTATGTCAGCAACATGGCAATGAGGAGTAAAGCCCAACATTGCTCGTTGTTCGAAAGTACTTGTATGAGTGGAGTTTAACACAAGGGGAACAACAACTGTGTGTCGGTGTATCTTCAGGGGATCTGGTGAAGGACCTCAGGCAGCTAGGGCTTTGGTCACATCAAAGAAGTAGAGCCGATGGGTTGCCCCTCACGAGCCCACTTTTCTGAAATGGAAGAAAATACTGCTGATGTTATTATAAGATCTGTGAGTCCCAAGGTTAGTCCATCCTGTATCCGAATTATGCAGATTGAATACGAACGTCAGAGGCTGAATTTGTTTGTGGGATTCAACCCTGAACATCCAAAGTCAGCTAAAGGACAAGGGTAGAGCAAGGCTGATGGTAATCAGCTCATCACGGCGCCTCAGGATTTGGGAGCTGACCCCTTGTGTGAAACAAGACACCTAATAGTATGCCGGAAAGTTCAAACCCTCCTGTTCCCTCTTCTCCCTGGCCTGGCTTTTGGAACTTGGGATGTGTTACAGCTGTATGTATCTCCTACGAAGAAACTGCGTCCTACATAACTCGTCACAGCGCCTATGCCTTGCCCAACAGCAGCGGCATGTTTTGACGGCAACCCTCTGATAGGACAGCGAACACAATCTTCTTGCTTATGCAGACTTTTATCGGAACGCCAGCAGGTTGCACTTGAGCGTTCCCTCAAAGCCAAGCCCGGCCAAGTGGCAAGGGCTGATCGTGCCCGTTGTGATTTGTCCAGCTGTTCAGATTATATCAGATCTCCACTGGTTTTCCATCGGCAGCACTAGGGGACATGGGTTTGTCCCAGGTCATCAAAATTCAAGAAATCAGCTATTTAGATGTTTCAACAAAAGCCTATGAATCGAACAGTACCAGCCTGTTTCGCATCGAACCAACAACCCTTCTTTCTCCCTCACAGGCGTTTTCGACGTGGCCCTCACCCCCTTCGGTCAGAACCAGGCGCGGCGCGCGGGGCTGGACATCAAGGCAAAGAAGCTCGCGCACTTTGACAAAGTGTACGTGTCGTACATGCTCAGAGCGCGCCAAACGTGCAAGCTCGCGCTGGAGGAGGCCGGAATCAAAGGAACGGAACCGGAACAGGACGGCAGGATCGCAGAGCGCTCGTTTGGGACGTTTGCCGGGCGCAGCATTGCTCTGCTGAGGCAGGCAAGTGGCTTCATGCAATTTGATTCGGCTGTCACGCTGTTTCTGGATCCAGTGTGAAACTTCAGTAGTAGAGTCAAGATCGACCTGGTTAGTTCATGGTTGAAGCTTGTCGACCAGCTCATGAACCTGTGGTTAAAGTCCCCTAAGGGTCACAGCTACCGGGTTCAAACACAGCCACCTTAGAGATTGGCCCGCTATGATCATACTGGCAACTCCCAATCCATTTAACAGCCTTTTCATTTAAGATCCGAGCTACCCGGGCGAACACTGTTGGAAACCCTAACCGGCAGAATAATGCGCTGCGCACCCGGACCCACCCTAACCACCAAGCCAACCGTACCGAGAAGTCTCCCGGGCGACTATCTCAAGTAAAGTGGCTCTTAAGTGAAACGGGAGTTACCAGGTCCTGCTACGTAATTCGAAATCACTCACAAAAGTGATCCTGTCTTAAAGCCGTCAACAGGTAGTATGTAGAGTCCGTTCATAACCACCTGGTTTTGATCACAATCAACCGTCCAGTGACGTGCACTCTCGAATGCTCCGGACCCTGCAGGGTGAGCTCGTTTTGACGTCAAGTTGACATCACCACATTGACGTGATTCCTTCACCTTTACCAATCTCGAACCACTGAGCGAAGGTTATACAAACCCACCGTTTGTTCCTTATACAGGCGTTCGGCTACGAGCCGTTCGAGCACTTTATGCACTCAGCGTACGAGGCGCCCCCTCAGGGCGAGACGATGAAGAAGGTGTATGAGCGCGCGCGCCTTTTCATGGAGGACAAGGTGCTGCCACGTGTCGAGCGCGGGGAGAAGGTGCTGGTGGTGTCGCACCAGTACGTAATTGAGCCGCTCGCGTTCTATTTGGACGGACTGACGGCGGGCGACTTCTTTCACTTCAAGTGAGTCCAACACACGTACCTCGAATTTCTAGGGGAGGCTGAGGATGAACCGGTTGCAATCAGGAGGGTTTTGGTCTTCACATAGGACATCGTGTCTGGTGTTCATACGCCCTCGCAGCAACATTCGTGGCAAAAGACCCCACTCTCATCATGGATTGGATAAAAGTTTTGCTTCCGACTTTTCTGTGATTGCTGAGACGACTTGACAGATGAAAACTACTCAGGGTTCCCGCATCCTGTCCAAGTACGCTCTTTTTCAAACCTGAGAAGCAGAGTTTTTCAAATTCTCTAGAGCTAGATCTTCGACCAAATGTTCAATCATCCGCGCTCCAAAGCCGCCCCTTGAGCCGAAGCCCATTTAGCTAGAAAACCGGTCTGTCTTTTGCTGTGTCTGCGAGTTGGGAATCCTTAGATACGTCTTACGTTCAACACTTCCAGAATAAAGAACGCTACCGCACTTGCCAGCATCTCTTCGTGCAGGCGCAATGCCTCATTGATGTGTACTAAAAACTTTCCCTGCTAACCAGGCTGATCACCAAACTTGCGTATCGGGTTATCTGACCAGAAAACTGGGCTTTTACCTTCAGGTTCCAAAGTTGGTCGCCGCCCGAGTCTGGTTATTCGACACTAACTGAACCACTTTGTAAGCCAGACCATAATCATCCGTATCTGATGCCCAAAGTGTTTCTTGTAACTTGCGCTCTCTCGTGCAGTCTGCCTAACGGAAAGGCCCTCAGCCGCTCCGATCTGGTCAAGTACAAGAACATGGAGACGGGCGGCTTCGGGAAGTTCATCCAGAAGCTGGGCGACATGGTGGCCCTGCACGGGCTCAATTTGTCGCCGCTTCTGTTCATCGTCGGTCTGCTCCTCCGCTGGTACTTTACCGACGCCATGCCGAAGCCGCTCTTTCAGGTGGGGGCAGTCGAGACTGAGAAGAACCTCATGATAACAAAGTACCGTTGACCAAGCCTGCTTAGTCTTCGGTCTTACTAATCCCACCGGATGAAGCTGGTGAAAAGCTGGCTGAGTACGTTGATTTCAATCTGACTAGGATCGAAACCCTTCCTGTGAAGTAGAACCAAGCTCTTGCAGCGTGCGGAAGCGCCGCGCCTGGTGACAATGAATATTGCTCGAGGCTGCTTTCGTTTTCTTGAACGTCCATAGAACTCTGATCCCAATCCACCCTGCAACGACGTTCCTGGTTGGTGGGCACTCGCAGAAGGCCCGTCACTATTTTGAAGCAGTTTTCTTATCCGATACGGTTAAACGAGAAATCCGCGGCAGCTTCAGCCTGTTTCGGGAATCACATCAAATGGCAGCACGGCCGACGAGCTTGATTTTGTTCCGTCGGAATTTAGCAAGATTTTGAGAGTCTTGTCCTTTGTTCTTGTCTGGCTCCAACCTTTTCTTGTACGTACCCATGCCTTGGCTTCTTCTCTGCATGACTAATGCAACTTGACTCTTGGCAACCTTGTGAATTCAACACAGTCTGGTGCGTCTATCGACAGCCACGTCATGGCCGCATTCAGGCGGGCTCGTCTGCTCCGCTCAGATTCGAAAACTCAAACCACATTTCCTGGCCCTTGCAGACTTTTCTTACCGTCGCACTATTCTTCTCGACGCTCTACTCCTACCTGGAAATCGACCTCCCGATCTCGTTCGCGCGCGCGCCTCTGAGCGCGGCTTTCATCTACTTCGCCCAGTTCGTTGCTCGCGTCATCGTGATGGTGCCGCTGTTGCTAACGCCATTCAAGCGTGACGTGGCGGGACAGCTGTTCGCGTTGTATTGGCTCGTGCCACCTGCGCTGACGTGCGCAACTGTGTCACTGCTGTGGGGGGGCGGACTATACCTCTCAGTGGTAAGCGATCGCCTGCCCCTTTTCCCAGGAACCTGGCCCCAGGCGGCTCTGATCTACAAGCGCTTCAAACGCAGCGGACTGTCAATGCTTAATTTTTCTCTTCGCTCCCTTTCGGAAGTGGCTACGCTTATGAAGTCTCTTTGACTGTAGGGTTTGAGTCGATGGATTTGATTGGTGCCGATTTCGGAGAGTGAAATCTCTCGCCCGTTCAGTAGAGCTGTCACGCTGGAGAGTGCGGTTTGTGAGCGACAACAGCTACTTTTTGATGTAATTAAAGCGGACGGATACTTCTTCGCGGCCGATACGCCGCCAGTAGGATTCAAGTGCACTTCAAGACCCCCGGGAATCGGAAAGAATCGGATGGAGCCCAAAAGTTAGCTTCGATTCGACAGACGATCACGGAATGTAAAATTATGTTCGATTTGCCTTTCCGAACACTACTCTGTCGAACGATTTCTAGAACTTAGATGGTGCCTTGATAAATTTTCCAGGTCTTTCACAGCGATATTCTTACACAATGAGTGTCATCTCTTCCACAGGTAGTGTCTCTGATTGCCAGCCTGTTGCAGCCGCTTCTCCTGATCATCCTCTCAGCCACGGACGTAACGGTGTTTAAGCCGGAGGACATGACGTTCTTTTACATACTTCTTGCCGTCGGGCTCGGCGTGCCCGGGGCCATCGCCCAGATCTGGCGCAGGTGGGTTTACTCTAACCAAAACGTTTTGGCTGCTAACCAGGCTGGGACTCGGAGTGAAGCTTAAACTTAGTGAATCAATAACCCCGCTTTAGCCTTCTTCCAAGGCAGGGACGCTAGTCTGGTTGTTGGTTATTTGACCACTTTCTAACCAGCCCAGTTCTTCTACATCCTTCTTGCCGTCGGGCTCGCCGTTCCAGGCGCCATCGCTCAGATCTGGCGCAGGTGGGTCGAGCACAGGAATCAAGTTCTCGCTGCTACAAAACCAGGCTGACAATTGAGAGTGAAGTCTTAAAGTCGGTGAACAAGTAATTGGGTGTTAAGCTTATTCCAAGGCTGGTTATCTGGTAGTTGTTCTAGTCTGGTTACTGAACACGTAACAACTTTCTAAGCAGCCCATGACCAGCGCATTGCCAGCTCATAACCAAGGTTAACACCCGAACTCTGAGGACAGATACACTTCCGTATGATCAACCCATTGAAAAAGGGGCTCGATCAAAGCGCAGTTGGGTCGATTCCGATGGATCCTTTGAACGCACGATATGCACACTAAACAAAAAGCTCTTGAATAAACAATACGAAGAAAGAGTTGGAACTGGTATGTGATTTTCGGAAAAGGAAGAGGATCGAGTCATAGCAACATCCTCGCAAGTTTCGATTCTTAACAGCGCACTCAGAATGGTCAAGTTGAAAATATTGCAGTTGCATCAGGATCGTATTGACCAGCGGAACACCCCACTCGCAGACACGCCCATGCCGAAATAGGATCGAACACTTATTGAGTCTGCTCACGATCGTCCCCCCATGAGCTTCCAACAATGGACTGCCGCTTACGTGTCGTTCCAATTCTCCAGGCGCTCCCCGGTGGATTGCAAGAAGCACGCCAAGAAGTGGCAGTGGCTCGGTACGGTTGCCTTCATGTGCCTGGGGCTCTTCTCCGGGTACCAGTTTACACCCGAGTCGCTCATCCACCTCGTGTTCAACCACACGTACAGCACAGCAGAGGTTTTCATTATTCAGGTAACTACCGAGACGTCGAATTGTCCGGCCGTCAGCGTTCTTTGGAGGCTGTTTAGTACCTATCAACAGCGCTCTTTCTGCCCATTTTGCGGTTTGGTCTCGAAGAAAAATGCTTCAGTAGAAGGCACTTGCGTTTCATGCTTCTACTCGCCCTCTTGCCCGTTCAAGGCCTCTTAATCTTTGAAATATCGTCACAACTGGCTCCAATCTCCGCCGACGGATCCAAGCTTCAACCTGCTTCGAGATCGAGAATCCGGTCCTAATCTTCGCTTTGCCTAACCCCTCCTCCAGAAATCTTGTCACTTTCACCTTCGTCGAGTCGACTTGCAGTCGCACACTGAACAATATAACTCAATCATTCTCGCACATGATCCCTTAGCCGCAGGACCACACTTAACCAGGCATCAACCCGGTCAGGTTAATAGCCCCATTTCAACGTGCGCGCGCGTGCAGAGGTGCTTTCAACAGTTCTGGCTGGCGCTAGCCCAGGTGGTCGGCATGCAGCTGCTGGGGGCGCTGCTGGCTGCCACGTGGCAGAAGTTCTTCCGGGGGAACCTGCTAACCCCGGGTCATAACCTGGACCTGTACATCGTGCTGGCAACTCCGAACATTTTTTTGTGGGCGGGTGAGATCTCGGAACTTCAACTTCGCTGAAATGGATCCTTCAAAGGCTGCGCGCCGGCATATTCCTATTAACTTTGATTCACCTGAGAAACTGCTTACCAATAGAAGATTCAAGAAATACGAAGCTAACACTAAAAGCCTAAACCCAAACGATCACCCGCTCCGCACCAGTACCCACCCTAACCCCAATACTAACGCTATCCTTCACAGTACCTTAACCTAAGCTTATCGTACCTACTTTAGAAAACAATTTTAACCGCTCCTTTTTTCTGACGTTGCAGCGCTGGCACAAGCTAGCGACGCACAGCAGGCCAGCGCCGATGGAGGCTCGCACACGGACTACGCCAAGTTCTGGCTGTCGCTCTTCTTCTTCATCGTGCCGACGCTGACGCAACGGTTCCTCGTGTCACGCTTCTCGAAGGAGATGCTCATCGAGGCGCACCAGGAGGAGAAGATGGACCGCGAGGAGGTGGGTTTGGGTACCGGTTCGGACTTGACTGATGTCAACATAGGAGGGCTTGCTGCTAAACAGGCTGACAGTTTCTAAACAGTTTTGGTGATGGACAAATAGATGGGCTCTAACATTGGTGCATTCCAGGTTACCACCCAACTTTGCTTATGGAACGCATATATACCCAGCGTCTGAACAGCTCGTCACCGCACAATAGGTTATTTTCCAACAATCCGTGTGTAACGATTAAGTTGACTTAAGCTACTGATCGGCCATGACCGTGAGACGCGGGATTGGTTCGGGCAGGTGTTTGAGTGTCTAGGGATAGGAGCACGTTTGCTTTAAGTCCAGGTTTCTTGTTTCACTGATATTGCCGGGCAACCGATTCTACTCAACCTAGGAGCCTAACTCAACGTACGTAAAATCAAATCATCATTGTGAATTCCTCGTGAAAGAGGCTCAATTCGGGTTGCGTTGGCCCTGCCGGTTGTCCGTCTCTCATCTTCCTGTCGATTTACGTCTTGCACTCTCCCCTGCCAATAACAGGAACCCATTCTGAGACTTGAGTTTCAGGTTTATTGAAAACATAACCGTTACCCAACCTTGCTCTAAGACCGTTAACCGCCCAAAGTCTATTTTTCGTTCACTTCACCTTCTTAGTCATCGTTTAACCTTTCACGGCTAAAACCTCCCGCCACTTTCGCGCGCGCAGTTGGAGAAGATGTGGGCGCGCTACGACACCGTTAAGAGCAACAGCCTGACGCTGCACTTCGAGGCCGATTTTCAGTCTCAAATTTAAGGTTATTGGCCACATAACCGTTGCATAAGCTTCCTCTAAGGCTGGTTACCGCCCAACCTTGGTTGTTGTTCACGTCACTTCTTCTCGATGAGCCTATAACCGTTCACGGCCGAGAACGCCCGCCAATCTCGCGCGCGAAGTTACAAAAGATTGCCCGTGGTTAACCATCCACGATTTGCCCGCTGAAAACCTCCGTCAATCCCTCGCGTGCAGTTGGAGAAGATGTGGGCGCGCTACGACACCGACAAGAGCAACAGCCTGACGCTGCTCGAAATGACGGACCTGGTGCGAGACCTGCAGAAGCGGACCACTGGGAGCACGCACATCAACGAATTTGTGGTGCGCAAACTGTTCGAAGTCATGGACTCGGACGGCAGCGGCGACGTGGAATTCGACGAGTTCCTCGCCTATTTCAACGCGTACGGCATGGTGGTGCAGCTGAACTGATGGGGTTATGTTTGGGTAATCTATGTGAAGGTTGCCAGACCCGGTGAAAAGTATTAGCGACGGGTGGGGTTAGTCAGGGGGTTCGGCTTTTAGGTTGCATGTTCTGATTGTACTCGCTCTTAGTAGCTAGGCTATGAAGCCACAGTATTGTGGCACACGAAGTAGTGGACTGGCGCACAACTGGAGCTCTCATGCAATCATAAGGCATTCATTGTAGTGTGCCCGACTCGTATCCAATCTGTTAAGGAAGCTTCGCGGGAAGCTTCATGATGAAGGCGCAGAACTTCATTCCCCATTTTGAAGCCTTCGTTGATCAGGCTCTGCTGATGTGGCATATATAGCAGCCGTCATTCGAAAACAGGCGTAGATAAGGCGCTGACATGGCGTCGTAGGATTGGACCTAGGTTCACCATGCACATAAGACACCTACAGACTGGTTAAGGAACCGTATACTTGCAGACGCCCTGGCAGTCTTAAGACCAGACCCGTTCTCCTAGAGTTTGGGCACTGATCTCGCCGAGTATAACAGGACCTCATATGGACTCACGATCCGGCATCTCATTTCAAGCTTCCGCATAGCTGCATTAACCCGTGCTCAAACTTCATAGCGTTCCAAAGACGTTTTTGCTTCGGCGATCGTCTTTGTTATAGATAGGCAACTCTGGCCGGTACAGTCACATATACTTACTGTACTTATCTTGATGAAACAAACGAGACCCCCGGGCCCGCTTGCGTTCAATTCTGTGCACGTAACTTTGAATTCAAGGCTTCAGCAATTAGGACGTTTATGGAACACAACCCTTCCCATACTCTTGTATTCTGATGCGTAGCTCCGAGCCTGCCGCCCAGGCCTGATATTGTTGCACACAAAAACTTGGATTGCGCAGCTTGTTGAACGGCATTCGTAAAGCATATATAGTCTGGAAGCGACTGATACATGGTTTAAGTAAAATACTGCAACGTATATGCAATATCAGGATGCATAGTCCGACGCGTGACGCACATTGATCGGTGCCAGATCATTGCATGATGAGCATGCATGTGCGTCGATCCTTTCAACGGATCAGTCAAGTCTCCAAGAGGAAGCTGGTCAACTAGTCATTCAGTAGAAAAGGGACTTGGAACTTGGACCAAAGAGTTGACATACAACCCCAGCGACTGAGAGACTTGTTAGGTCAATAAACATCTGACTCAGAAGGGACTAGGAACTGTCTACTTCAGAGAAACTTAGTTCTTGGTCGTTGATTTGCAGAACAATAGCTACTTCGCACTAAGTACGAATTCTGCATGTACAACCTTCTTTGACGTGACCATTTCCTTAATCCTTCCTCGACTAAGCATATATCCGCACTTTCAGTGACTGCCAGTGGGCTGAGTCCATTGCCAGTGCTGATATCCGTTCGCAGACTTTGGGGAGCCTTTCTGACGCAAGCACTGAGTGCCAGTGCTGATATCCGTTCGCAGACTTTGAGCCTTTCTGACGCAACCAGCTCCTCCAACCTCTTCGCGAGCACCAGTCCTTTCCACCGCCACTCGAACCCGCTTCTTCTCGACAACTCCTCCAATCTGCCGTGCGGTATCGTCTCCTCTGCCGGCTGGCATCGGGAACGGCCACGTGGCCTACTCCTACCCGTCTATCCCTGCCGGCACAGACTATGCATGGCCTACTCGACCCTTGACACCTCGCGACATGATGAAAATGAACAAAACGACCCTATTCGACCGGGCCTATCCATTTCCCCCCCACTCGCTGCCACTGCGGTTCCCGCGGCCAAAGCGAGTCACACCTGCTGCGCCTCCGCTTCTCGGCACCTTGGGCATAGCCACACGCCAAGCAGTAGTCGCAGAGCAGCATCTTGCTGGGGTTGCCGGCGCTCTTGCAGACTTGGCATGCGTGGCTCGCCGGCACGCCCGTCAGCGTCTGGCATGAAACCCGAGTAAGGTGGCCATTCTCTTTGGAGGCTATTTAATGATTTGATGCATCAGGAAGAGGCTTGACTTTGGAATGAATCATGGGGGACACCGCCGAGGACGCTGGGGACGCCGGTCGGGGACGAAGACCAAAACACCGTCGGGCAAAATTGACTGAAAAGACGCCACACCGCGGGGCAAAATTTGAAGCAAGACCGGCCAAGGGACGGTTTTGGGAACGGAGACCAGCCTCGACACGAGGTACCTACCACACTGTGCAGTGGTACTTGCATGAGGGGGACCGTATATACCAGTACGGTACCGCCCCTGGTTGTTTCATACAAGGATCGCAACACGGCCCGCCGCGTGCGGACATAAGTCCCCACCACTCGAGGACCGGACGGAGGACGGTACCGCCGTCCCCCATTTCCTGTCCTCCCTCGCGACCTACCAACCCGCTGAAGCCTCAGACCGGTGCGTACCGAGTCTATGGGAGTCCGCGGCCGACACCGATACGACATCGGCACTACTACAATTTATCATAACTTATATGTGCACTGTGGAATATACTCAATCGGTTATATTGTCAAGCACGGCCACAGCGAACGCCGCCCGCGCCGACTCAATACAGTGCCGCGCGCAGTGTGGCGCGCGGCCCGCCGGCGGCCGGGCGCGCAACTTCGCTGGCCGCGCGGCCGCACTGCAGCTAGCCCTAAGCCTGGCCGCAGTGACGTACCGTGACTGCACTGGCAGCGCGCCGCCCGGCCGGGCCTGCCGGCCGGGCGGCCGCGTGACCGCCTGCCGCGCGCGCCGCATGCGGCGGCGCCCTGGCATGCATAGCTCCTGATATGGAGGCTCAGCTCTGATCGGCATGTGGAGCTTCTATTGCATCACGGGTCATTTGGTTGCGTCGGAACTTGCGGTGATTCTTCATGCTGCAGACCGGACATTTTTGCATCTGAACCACGCGTGTTAATTGATATTATAGCTAGTACGCGCATTGCTTTTTATGCCAGAAGTACCGATTACATAACTTTTCTCATATCCACTCTTGCAATGTAACAGTGTACAGCATCATGTAATTCAGGTGCATTTCACCGTACTGATTCGGCCGCGGCCGTCTACAGATTTACCAAGTACCAAAGTAGTATTTACATGATGCACATAACTGAGCCTCGCCCCATCGCCCATCAATCATAGAACTGAGCCTCGCCCATCAATACTTTGTTATTATGCAGGAAAAGCTTTGCTAGAATTCATACGATCACATGGCCGACTTAATTCAACAAGTTGAGCATGATTCGCGTCAGTATTGGAGAGGAGTTCGGCATGATACCGTTTGTAGGAGAAGAACTGCTCGAAGGGAAAAAGATTACTGGAATACGTACATGTGCAGTTTGTAACAATACGTACATGTACAGATTGTTACAGATTGTTTGTCCCCTACAGCACGTTATCAAATGTCAAAGCTACCGGTACAATAAAGATTTTTCTAAATAATTTACACTGAAGTTTGCTTCCCCAACATATGTCCGCATCCGTATTAAAGTACTAGTCATCATCACCTTCTGCTTCCTCCCGAGCAGCTTGTCGTTCAACTCTTTCGATTCTTTTCAATCGTGCAATTTCGTTTAGAAGCTTCCGATGACTAGAGTACCTGCTTCCTAACACCTCCACCGCCGTAGCTGTACTAGTCAACTGCTTTTCTGTTTGAAACCTCAACACAAACTCGATGACCTCTTTCCTCTCAAAATACCTTTTCCTATGGACTGGCCCCTTTCTCCAGTTCGTTCCTGGAAACAATTTCTTCTCTTCCTCCAACTGTGTTATAGACGGATGGTTCTCAAGCCCAAAGCTCCACTCCGTCCAGACGTCTTCCACCGTGCTCACCTGGGGCCACGGATAGCCCCCTTCTCGATAAATTCGGCCTGGATCCTCTTCGTTTCTTTCGCCTTCGCCATCAGTGACCGGCTCCGTTGCTTCAGCCCGCTGTCTACCGCTTTCCTCCGTTCTGTTCTCCGGCCGACGCTGCCCTGTCCGTGCTCCTCTTTCAACTTCTCCCCGCCCCGAAGTGGATGGTTCTCCCGCTCGGTTCACTTCCTCAGGCCGTTTACCGCCCCCGTTCCGTCCCTCCGATCGAGCCTCCCCACCAAACCCTCCACTTCGTGCGAACCTGAACCTCCCACCTTGGACTTCCGGCCTCACACCGGCTGCCATCTGTTGCGCCCTCGCGCGCGCCGCAACCCCCTGACCAAAAACGCGCGCTGCCGCTTCCCCCTCGTTCGTGCCGCCCTCTCCAACGCCGCCCTCTCCGACGCCCCCTCTGACGTCACCTGTTTCGCCCCCTCGATCCGTTGAAGCAGTCTCCCCGGCGCCGGCGTAGAACGCCTTGAGGTAGGCCATCTCTGCCCGATGTAGTCGCGCCTCTCGTTGCAGACGCTCGTTCTCTGCTCTCAAGGTTCCTTCCACCCCGAGCGTCGCGCTCTCCACGTTGGCGTCAACCGTCGGAACAGGTTCTGTTCGCGTCGCTAATCCTCCCTCGATCAGCTGACGAACGCCGACAACCTGTAGGCCGACCCTGCAGCCCCGCGCTGCACTTGACCGCCCACATTGTGGACTGCCTCCTTCACAGCAGCTAACTCGTTGCTCAGGATGCTGACCACCTCGAGGATGCGCGACTGCAATCAAGAATACACTTTCTTAGATTCTTCAGATACTTGCAAGCAGACCGGCAGAGAGTTATGTACCTGCTTTACGGGTTACTCAGTGCGTGCTCACAATAACTAAAGGCACGCTGAAATGACAGAATCGCTCTTGCAGCTGAAGTACAAGCATTGTGTGTTCCTCGTCACTAGCTCATTGCTCTTGCTGGTGACATCAAATGTCACTGATCTCACCTTTGACGACAGTCTACTGCTGACCTGCGGGTGACGTCAGCATGTAGTCTGTTCGAAAGCGGCAGGTGCGGACAAGCAGAGCCCTCACTTATCAACACGAACCTTGTGACTGCGGCAGGTCACCTGATCGAAATGACAAGACCTGAGACAAAAATGTCTGAAAGTATTTGACAAAAGAAACATGAACTCCAGTTCGCAGCTGACAACTTCTCACCGGCAGGTCTTTCCTTGGTGGCAGAAAGCTCTCCGGATCCGCTTCGGCTGCAAGGATGGCCTTCTTGAACGAATCCCAGTGCGGTGACTGGAAAACCTTCAACTCGTAGATGGGCAGGTCGGGGAACTCGTCCTGCATGTAGGCGGCGTCCTCCAAGAAGAGCCGCTTGCTCTCTTGAAGGAACCGGAGCACACCCTCCTCCGTAAGGTCTCGCCCCGCTTTCAAGCGTGCTCTTTCGTTTCTCTGCGAGAAGCACAATGACGACAATGTTTGCACAAAGAACTTCTTCCGACTCAATGCCTGACGAGTTGAAATTACCACCTATGATTCAAAAAAGCGAGAAGCCTTCGTGACAGTACATGTATAATTGCTTTTTGAAGTGCTTTGACGTCACGTCGAGACCAGTGACAAGTACAACAGATCCACCCAGACCAAGACCAAACTTGCCAGACTGTCCGCATTGCGAGTCACGAAAACGGGTCATCGCGACTTGGCATGACGAACAACTCGCTCAAATTTTGAACGCCTTCTTGGACAGGATAGAAAGCTCGCAGGGGACGACACTCACCTTCTTGGCCTTGTTGTACTCCCTGTCTATCCACGGACAAAGATCCTTCAAGAGCTCTTGGACAGCCTTCTCGTCCACCTTGGCGTGCTCTCTGCAAAATCAAGAGAGGTGTTCAGGATCAGTAGCATTGTACAGCTTCTAAAAGAGACCGGAGCGGTATGCCCACGGGTTCGTATGCTCGTTTGCTCGTTGCACGGACGGCTGAGCTGGATGCAAACGGGACTGAGCACTGGAGAGAACTGTTCCTACAGAAAAGCAGAGCTCGGCCCTTGACTTGAACATCCCAAAAGAATGCCTGCATCCTCCAACCATTAGCAACTTACCGGGGGATCCGATACCCGTCCGAGAAGTTGCTGACCCGGGCCTCCTCAGGAAAGCCCGCCATTGCGACTTGCACCGTGAGCGGCGTGTCGTCCGCGTACGACATGTTGAAGTGCTTGTTCATCTGTTGGGCAAATTTGGCAGCCTTCTGAACGTCAGCCATCGGTATTCTGCAATCAATTGAACAGATGCGGCTTGATCAGTTCTGGTGCGCAATTTCCGTTCCCGCTTTCGCAACCCACCGCTCGTGCTGCATGCAATGTTCAAAGCCGAGTTGGCACACACCTTTCACTCCTCGCCAATCAATAAGTGGACAATGTGCTGTGGGGGGCTCCGCAAACGCTGAATCTAGCCCCCTGTTCCAAATGCGGATTCAAAAGTGGTGCGTGCACGCTGTGGGGGACTCCGCACAGGCTGAAACTAAACCCCTGTTCCAAATGCGGATTCAAAAGTGGTGCGTGCACGCTCCCGAGAGCGCCGAAGTGCGGAACGTCGTTGAGCGCAACAGCGGTGCTGAGGTGAAAGTCCACTGTACCGGGAAGAACTCATCTCATCGAGTGCATGGAGGCCAACTCTTTTGCTGAAGCAGATACAAACGTTGTCAAGTTAGGATGCTCACCCCGACTTCATCAGCCATTTGATACCCTGCTTCCGCCCAAAGTGCGTCACCTTTCTGGAGCGGATGCTTAGCCGATTCTGAACAGACCGGATGTAACGGGCCTGGGTTGCCGCGCAGCGGCCTTTCAAGGGATTCTTGGAACCGGGGGAGATCATTTCCCTTTGCCTGTAAGCACGTTGTAGGCATGTACATTGAGACGCTTGGGCAATCAATGATCGAAGCATGAAGCATCTGCATTCAGTCCTCAAGTTCGAATCCTCAAGGTCACTTACTCAAGAAGCACAGTAAGAAGCAGACTCAAGTACTTTCATCAAGAGTGCATTGATCGAGACAACTGGTGCGTGCACAGCGTTTGATGTACGTACAAGTTTGAGGGACCAGCACCAACACGAGAACGAATTAAGAGCACTGAAAAACTCGAGATTTAAAAGCGATATGTACATGCGACGAAGTTGACCGGACAGTGACTGAATGCTTACCAGGACTTGTCACCGGCCTTCAATATCTTCTTCCGCTTCTTCTCCCAGAGGTAGAAAAGGTGACACGAGCGCGCGAAGCGGGAGTCGAACAGAGGATTCTTGTGCCGGAGGACTGAGTGTATTTCAATTCGTCCGTTCTGCCACAAGAAAGAAGGGCACTTGTCAAACTTCCATGCACTGCAAGTTACATTTGATCGAGCACTTCGTCGTTATCAAACCACCAGATATGTCAGACTATCAACAGGAGGATACCAACTTCTCGACAATCCTTCTAACTTCTCGACAGCTACCCAAAGAATGCCTCTCATGAATCAAGGATTTCGTGTGACTGGTCAAGCAGGCATGCCGCATAGGGGAATTTCACCTGGGGTGCATCGAGAATATTGCTCACCTCGTTGTGAGCAATATTCACCTCGACCATGGGTTCAATACGCGCTGCTTGGTCGGACCATTGCATCTCACGCGTGGTCTTGCTCCGGATGATGCAGCTGAAAAGCGCCAGGTTGTCCGCCCTGCAAAGGAAAACCCTCGAGATCAATTTGTCCTTGTGGCGAGGCTCAGGACTTTTTAGCTAAAACAGCATAACTGGTTGTGATCAAACGTGACATGGCTGCCCGCTGCCTTTCTGCTCATGATTTTGTTCAATGAACTAACCAATCGAATGCAACGTGCCCGGCGACATGCATCAAAATCCCAGCATCATAGCATCGCAACATCAGTCAGGTTTACAACCATGATCTATGTGATGCACCTGACAACCTTCTACAATGGAACCAAGAAAATCAGCAGGGCCACATTGAAAGCTTGATGCACTTGAGTCAGACGACTTACCATGCCTGGAGGGACCCGACTGCTGTGATTCCTGTGCCACGGAGCTCCTCCTTGGACAAGGAAGCATTCTCTAGCTGAGTCTTGTTGAAGAGCTCCCAGTCCTCAGGTGAGAGGTGGTCCGTGAGCTCGTCGTGCTTGTCCAGCTGGTCCCTGCAGAAAAAAGGCTCCCATGTTATCAAGCCTGTACTCAAGCGCATGATTCTTTCCTGGAGATCTACTGGTCCTATAGGTGCTCTGCAAATACCGACTCCCTCTGCAAGCAATCTCCAGAAACATGTGGTGCAGCCCAGGTGAACCGCTAGCCTTCAACAAATATAAGCAGCTCAAGCAACACAATGGGCAGTGCTCAGAGCCCGCTCAGAGATTTCAAGGCATGTGCTGCTATATTGCAAACTCGGGAAAGACCAGTTCAGGACAAAGCAAGCGCTATAATGTTCGATGCAATCCTCACTCTTGGCGCCTCCGGGCGGTGTCTTTCTTCTCAGTCTTCAGTCGCTCCTTGACTTCAGGAAAGGCTCAAGAGTTTGGCTCTGGGCCTTTCTCTCCGTCAAGTACCCACTGATGGTACAAATGCCACTGAAGACCCCTGGCGTACTTGTCGAGAGTGGGTGGCTTCTGCCATAGGAGAGAGTGAAATAATCGCTGATCAGAAATGCTCTCCTTCACAACAGTTAGATCGACAATTCTAAAGACCACAATGCTGCACACAATGCAAGAATCTGCATACGGAACAGAATCTTCATGCACGTAAGGCCTCGCGTGGTCGCCAGGCTTGTTCAAATTTTCAACCAATTGTGCAAGCCAGGAGTGCCACGAGAACTCACATGGCATGTCGTCTCTCGAAAGAAAGTGCGGATGCCCTCTGCAGTGATGTCAGCCCAGCGAACGCCGTCTCTCTGCAGGAAGAACTTCTGCAAAACCAGAGCACGCAAATCAGGCATGGCCACTTGTTGATCTTAGCGTCCTTTATTGTCTGCCAAGCCCTGCCCACATGATACTTTCTGCCAATTTGGGTCATTGCATTGAGATCTTTAGTCTTTGTTAGGTCGTATGCTGCTTCCATTTTCACTTCCTCGCCTGGCATGCCTTATTGATATGACTCTGTCAATGGTACGCCCCAACCGTTTGCTACTACAGGCAATCATCAAATCAGCAGCTAGAGATAAGTACACGTATCATGACCCTTTGATTGAAAGCAGTAAAGCAGGGTCCTGTCTAGCTTTTCTGCAGATCAAAAGTATGGAAGGAGAGCACAAACCTGATAAGCCTTTGGGCCTGCTTTGTAGTTTTGCATTGTTGCTTCTTCAATGTGATCCTTCTCGTAAGGAAAGCTTTTGAACTGGCGATCCTGCCTCGCCTTTCGCAGGCATGCTTCCTTATCCTGTCTGGCAAGCTTTTGCCTGCGTTGCTTCTTGGCTGCTAAAAACTCTTCCACTCTACGTTGTTTACGCTTTGTCGAAGGCTTCTTTGCCTTTGCCCTTGCCGTTTCAGCTGCCGCCTTCACAGCTTGGCGCCGCTGTCTTCTCAGTTCCTCGACCGCTTGCGGATCATCTGCACGCGGTTGCTTCTTAAGTCTTTCATCATCCGAGTCCGACTCTGAATCTGACATTGATGGGCGCTTCCGTTTTCTGGCCTGGCATTGTGTAGCTGCTGGGGGCAACTCGTCATCATCAGAATGTACAACTGCCCGCTGAGATTTCCTTAAGGCAGCAGGACGAAGGGTATCAACGCCCTAATCTTCCGATTCTGAAAGCCCAGGTGAAAAGCTGGGCATTTCCAGCTCAACTTCTGGCTCAACTAAACTTGCACGATACTTCCTGAGTCTGCCCTGTAGGACAACTCTGCAGTAGCTGGAAGACCTGATTCTGCTTTGAATCGAGGCCATGGTATATCCTTTCTGCACCAACTCCACAACTCAGCAGGCAATAAATTTTCCCTGAAAAAACCCACCAGCAATATGAGCTTCTGAGGCTACATAAGCTATTACCGCTCTGCAAGTCTCCAAGCTGCAACCTTTGACCGATTCTGTGCAAATGCCGATGGAGTCAATGAGGAAGGTAGAAGCCCCCCTGCGCCAGAAAGATGGAGGCTCGAGCTACGTGGCAAGGAGCCTTCTGCTCACGGCAGTACCTGCTTTCCTGCTTGTGTCAACTTCAATTTATGTCAGATCAGGGAGGTGGTAGCTTGCGGACGCGCTCGTGTGGTAGTACTGTGTACACTATACAGAACATGCAGCTACATGGTATGTTACGGTACCGGGCATGGATCAAGTTTGAGATTGATCAGACCATACGGTACACATCTACACAGTGCTGCAGAGCAAGTCATGCAGGAACCCAAAATGGCACCAAACAATCTCTTCCCCGAAATTCGTACCCGAAGCAATCTTTGGTGCGATTTGCGTCGGACGGTCTTGTGCAAAGTCTGAGCAGTTGAACATTTCGAACCACCACCTACCCGGTACTGGACCTGTACATACATGATACTACCTCCGGTATTCCAAAGACTCCAAAGGAGCAGCACTCAGACCTCAGCCTTCTGGTGCAGAGCCTGAAGTCCGCCTTTTCGAGGCCCTGGCCACCATATATGTGGCTTGTCCAAAGTTGCGATGAGGGGGGCCTGTGCTAGAGCTAGTGGTGCGCTCTCTGCTGCGCGAAGAAAGAGGAACAGTGGAGGAACATAGCTCGAAGCATGTTTTAGATGGTCAGGTGGAGCTGGCAAAGGGCTGGCGCCTGAGTCCTGAACAAGAAGTCCAAACAAGGCCTAGTTCTAGAAAATGCAGATAGAAATCTACCGTACAAGGCTTCCCTGGGTGAGACAAAGTCCTGAGTCTTCAGTGGGCCGCTTATTATCCGAACAAGCGGCCAGGAGTTCGGCCCGCCTACTAGCTGCGATCGAGCTCGCCCAATCTTCCTCTAAACAAGCACCCATGGGCACTTACTGATAAGGTGGAGCAAAATTAGTTTGTTATTGCTTGCTAGCTCCATTACAAATGATATGACCTGTTCCTGAAGGGCGGGCACAATGCTTATCTACTTGAGCAAGAAGGTGGCCATACCAAATGGGGTGAAGCTCAAGTGCCTGTCATGGAACTCGGAGCAGGGCTGGATTGCATGCGGTGGGGACAATGGCCTCCTCAAGGTAAGCGCCACCACGCATACTTCTTCAGACTAACTTTAAAGGCTCAAGCTGTCCATTTATCGAAGCTGACACTACAAAGCTGAACCCGGAAACTTACCCGAACCCACCCGTACTGCCACCCTACATTTGCATAGTAACCTAACCAGTCCCAGCCGCGTTGTCTCTCCATAGCTTGCACTCAACACAATTACTCTGGGTATTTGTCGACCGCTATCACTAATGAACTTGATCAGCACAGTGCCAGTTATGGATCACCACCACCACTATAAGTGCCCCCGTCATATGATGAGCGATTACTCACGTCCCAGCAGGATCAGGCACAGTGACACTTTTGCAAACTTGCTTGTTTTGAAGGAGCCTGGCTTTGGCAAAGGTGCCAGGGACCAGCGTTTAGTTTCAAGGGTAGCTTCCTTGCGTCTTGTTTTTCTGTTGGCAGCATTGGACTTTGTGACAGCAGGTTGTAAAGAGTTGCAGAACGCCCAGCTTGCAAAAAGCAGGCATGAACTTTCCATGAGAGATAGCTGCCTCAGTCTCCCAAACCCCTTGGTTTGACCAGATATTCTGAATCTTGAAAACTCCCCAGGTGCTGAAGCTGGACGTAGTGGCGCGCAAGGACACTAAGGGCGCGACTGCTGCGAGCACCCTACACCCACCGCTCTAACATAGGGCCAGATAACCAGCCCCAAACCGGGTTCCGCTAACCTAATCATTTATACCCTCGCCAGGTGCTGAAGCTGGACGGCGTGGCGCGCAAGGACAGCAAGGGCGCGTCTGCCGCGAGCATATTATACCCACCGCTCTAATAGAGGGCCACACAAACAACCAAAACCTGGGTGCCGCTAACCTTGATCACCAATATCCTCCCCAGGTGCTGAAGCTGGACGCCGTGGCGCA